AATAATAACTTTGGGAAAATTTGATGTGAGGTAATATAAACTGGCACCAATAATAAATGCAAATCCAAGTTTAAACTTCCAGAACACGAGCTGGAATGATCCCTGTTTGTCACTCTGAGCTGTGGGTGAGTTACAGAGGTTGAATTTTCTGTACCAGCATTGATTTCTTCTGTTTATATTCTACAAGTAAAATTTTGAGCAGTTGCTTTGTGCAATGTTTGAAGTTATCCCATTGTTACTGAGGTGGTGGTTGTTGTGCAGAAAGCTGTTCCCTTTCCTAGGAAAATGCCTGGGAATGTCTGACCAGCCCTGCACGGCCGACAGAATTGAGCTGTTCTACATGGCTCTGTACCTTTGCTTTCACCACCCTTTGGCTTTAAACAGAATTGTTGTCAGGTTTAAGTTGGTTATTTGGGCACACTGACAACATTTTTGAATTCTTAACTCTGTTATTCCCTTGCAGTGGATGATTTAATGAATCGTTGGCTTAAATGATTCAAAAAGATGAATTAAATCCAAGAGCAGTTTTCAATTCTATGGGTGTAAGACAGATTAACGTACAACCCAAATTTAACTGGGCAGTATTTTGCTTCAGTTGATGTCTTAGCACTTTTTAATGCTACATTAACATTTTTGTAGGGTTTAAATTTGTTGTTTTTCAGAGGAGGAATAAAATCACCTGTAGTTGCTCGCTGGTCAAGTCGGTGTCCTGTTCCCTGTTCTTACATTCCCTGATCCCATCGGGCTGGTTGTCCCTCTCCCCTTGTTCTCCAGTTTCTCCTCCATTCTCCATCCCTCTGTTGGCATGTGGGAACTCTCTTGGTGTCCCTCCATGGAAGAGAGAGGGTTCCATGCTTGTTTCCTGGATTCAGATGCTCTTTCAAGCTGGATAAGATGAAAACTGTGTTTCCACCCTCTCTGTTTAGTGTTTCACTGTCAGCAGCCTCAACTGTACTTCACCTCTGCTTTAAGGCCGAGGGAATAAAAGAGCATCCACCTTTTTCATCACGGAGCCACCTCCTCTCTCCATGGAAAACTCCTGCTCTTTGCTGTGCTCCCCTCTCCTGTAACACGCAGTTGGGGGGTTTTGGGGTTGCTTCCTCCCCCCTCCCTCCATGATCCACAGCTCCAGGCCCAGTCTGGACTCTGGGTAGTCTTTTCCATTCATCCAGATTTTCCCCAGGTTTCCCAATAGGCTTCCAAATACAGGTTCCCAACCTGTTGGTCTGTGTGGTGTGTTCTTTCCCTGCTCTGACTCACGTCCATATTTGAGTGTCTTGCCTTAATCATTCCTTGTTTTTCACAGATCTCTGCCTGTATTTTAATTTCTTTTCTGTCCAGCTTCCTCTTACACTTCCTGTTCCCTGTGCATGTCTGGTGTCTCTTTGTAAGAGGAGATGCTTTGCAGCAGCCCCTTCTCCAGCCCAGCCGTTTGCACATCATTTATCAGGGCACTTTTATTTAGTTGTAGCTGCACAGGGGATATCTGTTCCCGATGTTCATTTGAACAGGAGGAGTAAAGAGTTATATTTAAGAGAATCTGAAGTTGTTCTGCTGATTTGGAAGCAGGAGCATACGGTGAAAGGTTTAAAAATAAGCAGGATTTAAGCTACAGCTTGCATATTAAATACAGCAGTGCATATGCCCGTTTTCCAGCATTGTTGAGCTTTCCTAGGATTCCATGTCAATAGATGGTTTGGGACACAAGCCCAGTGTGTGTTGTGTGTGTTCCAGACGCTCCCCCAGCCCCTCTCCTGGGTGTGTGGGAGCTCCAGGGCCGGCGGTGACACAAAGGGCCGAGCAGGGCCTCGTTTGTTTGGGGAACTTTGCTAGAGAAACCAAACGTAATCAATGAGCTCGGGGCTGTCTGCGATAAGTTATGTGCTGCCTGTATCGATTGGGAAGGATTTTAGAAGAGCCACGTGGGGTTTCTAATGTCAGCAGTGCTCGGATTATGAAAGGAGCTGGAAGGCTGGATGGGGAGCCAGGTGGTGCCTGTCCTGCAGCCCTGAGCCATCCCCCTGGGACACGGCTCTGCCCTGCCCTCAACTGCGGGCACTGCCTGCTGGGGAGCATTGCTGCTCATTAATGGGACAGATCCAACTGCAGGGAAAGGATGGGGCAGAGGATGAACTTGGGGATTGATCCCCCAGCCTGGCGGGTGGTGCCCTGGGGACCCTGCGGCTCCCAGGGTTCCACACCCGTCAGCTGCCCAGCCTGGATTGCTGGGGGCTCCTCTTCTTCTTTTACAGACATTTGTGTTTCTTTAAGAAAATAGGCATGAGGGAATAAAATAAGAAAACAGGCTATTGATGCTTCCTCTGTGTTTCGTGCTGGGTAAAAAAAGACATAAAAGAGATTATAAGGTGCTGACATGGAGCAATTCTGGGTTTGGGCTTGTGATGGGTTTTGTTGGAAATCATAAAGAAATGGTGGTTTTTCTAGGTCGTAAGTAACCACCCACCTAAAGAGGTCGGGTGGGAAGTTGTGTATGATGTAGGTATTGCTTATCTTTCAAACTGAGGAGTATTTAAAGAATTAAAAAGAAAAAAAGCAGCATTATATTTAGAGTAACGAGCTTGCAACTTGAGCAAAAGCGGGATAGTTCTCCAGTAATTGTACTTCTTACATCCAAAACATCAGCAGTTTTGCTAACTAAAAACTAATTCTGCATATGAGTTTTAAATTTTTTTAAAGAGTTACAATTTAAAAATGAGCCTGTGGTTAACCTGTGCCAGTCTCAGTTTTTTTAGTTGTGAATCCAGGCAGATAAGTGTCAGTGTATAATGAATGGCAGATTATGTCCAATGACATTACAAAAGCCAGATAATAATGTCACTGTAAAACCTTTCTTTAAAAGAGAAGGCAGTGGAGAGTGGTACAGATCCAATATATTCAGTATATTGCCTCTTTAAGGGAAAATTTCATTTGCTGTGTTTGGTAAACTGTGAGTATCAAGAAACTAGTGCAAAGTAAGTTTTAAGTCTTGCACTGCTCCAATAACACAATGCTGATGAGATGCTGGATGTTTTATGGTGGGAATGGTTTTACTTGCAGTTACAGGAATTATGTAGATCATCAAAATAACAGAGAGAATGTGTTCTGCCATTTTGAGGTGACTGATGGCTCGTTACCTTTTAACGCTGTTTTATTTCAGAATTTGATGCAGCTACATGATTTGTTTCTAAAAAAATAGATACACAGTCATTATTTTGAGGACAATAAAAATATAGGCACTTTGCTCTCCTGCAATTATAATTTTGATGATCATAGGATTCTTCTGAGGGTTTTTTTGTTTGTTTTTTAGCACTTTGTGCAGTGAGATTTCAGCTGTGCTGAAGGACAACTGTGCAGTGGTTAAAATTGGTCAGGGTGCAGGTTTTGTGGGTGAGCAGTTGGAGTTGTTCAGCTTGGGGAAGGCAGTGAGGTTCTGCAGGGGGGGAGCCCACTCTCATTAATGAGACCTTGGCTATCAAGGCATTATTTTGGGTCGAAATCCAGATTTCTGCAGAGTTTCCTCTGAATCTACATAACTCCTGCCCAAGTTTGCTGTGCAATTCAAAGCAGGGGATGCCTTTGCTCTGCACGGCTTTCTTCAATAGACCCTTTCTTGTTCTTTAAAAACAGGAGGTTGTTAAATAATCTATCAATAAACTGTCAAGAAGTCAAAGTTTCCATATCTGTTTCTGCCTGAAATCTTCAGAACTTGCCACATTTTAGTTGTCAAGAAACCTCCAAAGAAGAGAGTGAGGAGTTGAGCCTGAAACCAGGGCTAAGGCTGGGCTGTGCTGCTGTGAATTATGCAGGAGGAACATGTTCCTGCAAGGGAGTCAATATGTTTTGTGCTTCACTGAAGGGGTGATTAGATTGATGGAGTTTATTTGGGAACGGTGGCGTTTGGTTTAGAAATAAATGAAGCGAGAAGCATCTATTTACTCATTGATGATAATTTATTGCTGCTGGTCAGAAAAGGGTTGAATTTATTAGGGGGGTTGTTGTTTGTTCAGGGTTATCCTGTTTAGCTGAAAGCAGAAATAGAATTTACACTTCAGGGCCTGAAATATTTAAGTGTGAAGGAGAATGAGCAATGAATTGGCTGTAGGAAAGATCTGCAAACTGGGAGACCTTTAATGGGGGGTTGTGGGTTGCAGAATTCAAAATTTGGATATTATAGAATGATCTAATGGATTGCTTTTGTCTATGAACACAACTGTTTTGGGACTAACATTTCTGCATTTGCCTCTTTAGTGATTGTTTAACGTTGTAAAATTGAAAATTATGAATTTATCTGCTGATGGTGTTTTCACTTTTCATATTCATCCTTTTCTTTGCTCTCCTGCAAAGGCTGTGCTTAAAGGCTTCCCCATTTGTGGTGCTGTTTTGCAACTTGTAGAAAATGGCTTGTGGGTTTAAAAATCTGTATTAATTTTAATACACATTATTTTAGTTGGTGTTTCAACACTCAGATTTTCTTTTTAACAGCAGTAGGGAGCGTTAAACATTCCTGCTATGAGACCTATTGGCTTCTCCTTTTGTTATTTATCTTGCTGATGTTAGGAAGTGTTCTCTAATCCCCAGACCTCTGTTCCTAGGTAACAGTCAAAAGCTGTGCCAGCAGAAGTGGTCCTGCCAGGCCAGGCCCATGTGGTTTGGTGTTATTCACTCCGATCCATATGGTCAGGGCAGGGATTGTCCCCAGAGAGGTGTTAACACTCAACAACCCAACCTCCTCCTCCTCTTTGGAGAATTGCTGGATGGCTCCTGCTGCCTGCCCATGTGTGAATCTTGATTAATTTTTCATTTTTAATGAAGTTTGATCATGTTTATTATTTCACATGATTGACTGCCTGGTACTCCTTCCATGTAATTGATAAAGCCCATATTTCTTCATCTGTCTCTTGTTTCTTCAGGGCAAAGTTGTGAAATTGTGTGATGTGGTTAATATTAGATTTATTGGTCCCAATAGATGTATAAATTATCTCTTTTTTTTCTCTCCACAGGAAGTTCTACAGACTTTGACCAAGTTTTGTTTCCCCTTCTATGTGGACAGGTATTGTTAGCTTTTCAAACTTTACAAGAAAATAAGCTTGTCAATAAAACCCCTGTAGAAAATAAAAACCATTTCATTCATAATGCTCTGTCTGTGTGACTGGGACTCAGAGCACCCGAGTGCAAATTATAGTCCTAGAATCACTTTTTCCTGGGGTTTTTATGGGCACCATCAAAAAAAAAAGAAGTTTTAAAAGTTGGAGTTGTTCAGTGGCAGCATAGGAGGGTGTTTGGTTTTACTTCTGCTGAGAATGCTTGGGTAGCAATTGTCAAATGTGCATATTAATATCAAAGCTTTGTGTGCTCATGTGTTTCATTTCTTCATTGCCAAAATTTGGGTGGAGCAGTGAATTAAATGCTTTGCATTTAAAGGCCTCATGCTCCTGTTGGAGTGCTGGTGCTTTGGGGGTGAAATCGTGCAGTGAATGTCAGAAGATCTGAGAGTATTTAATTGTTGTAATTTAGAAAACTCTACAAGTTCTGTAGTTTTCCTTTTACTGCGAGTTATTTTTGGTGGTTTCATGAAAGGAACAAGAATTGAAATTTTGCAAGGCTGCACCAGTGCTCACATCATTCTGGGCATCACTTAATTGGGCAGAATGCCTTTCCTTTGTCAGCTGAGACACTGGATGGTTTGGGGTGAGCAAATTGACCTGAACTGTGATTAGACTGCTGGAAATGTTTGCCTCATTTTAGAATTTGGAATCACTCTTTTGCTGCTCATCTCTTCCCTTTCCTAAGGGGAGGGAGCAGGGAAATACTCATATATATTTTTCTCATGTATATGTTTCTACTAGAAATATTTATGCTTCCTGTGTGTAGATTTATTGTACCTAGGGGTTTTGTTTGTTCTGTTGTTTTTGGTTTTCCTCAGCAATATAACATTTTGAAAGATAAGAACACTGAAAACCCATATGGGGTGCAAATGAGAACATAATGAAAAGTGATTCCCATTTCTGGATCCACTTGTTTGTCTGAGTATCACAGACTGTCACTGAGAGACTGTAAGCCAACTCCTTGAACGTAAAGGAGAGATTGTAACCCGTGACATACTTAATAATTTCAAATTCAGGGTGGACTCCCAGTGCTGCAGAAGGTGGAGGACACCCCAAGTGAAGGTTGTGGCAGCTCCTGCTCTTCTGGCTGTACAAATGGCCAGTGTTGGCCCTGGAGGTTTTGGCTCTGGGGGACACAGACACTTCACTGCTTTCATGTTGGTTCTCTCTGTGTCTGTTGAGGCCAGTGGGCAGCAATCCCCAGGGAATTGTTGCCCATTCCTTTAGGCACTGCAGCAGGAGTTTCCTGCTCCCTTGGAGGCAGGATCAAGGCAGAGGCTCTTCCCCAGCTGCAGGAGGGCAGGGCTGTGTTGGTCACACAGAGCTGGAGAGGGGGCATGGAGAGACATCCCTCTTCCTCTGTCCCCTTCCCTCCAGCCTTGACTGGTGTCTGCCCAGTCAGAGAGGAGACTGATGGTGCCATCAGAGGCTCTGGATGGGCCTCCTGCCCGTTTGGAAGCAGAGCTGTGAGTCCCAGGGGTTGATATTCAAATCTGGGGAGGGCACTGTGCACGTTGGGAGGTTTATCCTTCCTGTGAAGAACTGGCACCGACACTTGGGCAGGACCTGTGGGCCAGATTTGGTTTCTGCAGATCACATCCATGCAGGACTCTTTAGGTTTGCTCTGGAGGAACTCCCCAGCTCGTCACAGTTGTTTAATAAACAAGCTTCTCCCCGCTGTAATGAAACATGGTTTTCCCCCTGTTCCATAATTTTAATTGTCAGCTCAAATGCTATTTCTCACACACCCTCTGCTCTCAACCTTGTTAAAATTAAGCATATAATCCCCTTTTAAAACAGCATACTAAAATCACCATAGTAACATTACATCCAAGCTTTACAGATAAAACACACCACCAGTGAGGGATTTTTGGGTATCCCCAGCAGCTCAGTGTGCTTTATGGAAGTGGTTGCTCTGCTGACATTTAGATTTCAGGAGGATGATTGTACTTCCACTGGCTAATTCTCAGACTACTGAGATGCTTTAAACATCTGTCTTTCTGTCCATCTTCATCACTGCATGTTTTTCTTTCCTTGTTTGGAATCCACTGAAGGATTTTTCTAAGCTGGACAATGACATCTTTCCCATCTGGATCCAACTTTTACTTCAGAAAGTCTGTTTTTCTTTTGTTTCCTCCTGGCACTGAGTGTATAATCTCCCACAGAAATTTTTTGTTGCATTGTATATGACATCACAGAAGAGAATATTCTGAGGCCTGAGACTGGTAGTTAAAATGGCCTTGAATTTAATGGGATATTTGTTGCAGCTGGTAGAAGTGACTTGTAAAGCTGCACATGTCAGTGCAAGTCAGATTTCTCAGTAAACCTAAAAAGCCCTAAAACATAACCTGAAATAAATGTTGATTTCATGTCATTAGAAGTATTTTGGGTCATATGAGAGAATGTGGGGTTGGTTTGTACCGTGTGCCCTTCATGGAAGGTGGTTGATAGTCGGAGTCATTTTCATTTAAAGATAAATTTAGCATTTTTAGTTTCTTCTCACACTTAAAAAATGGAAAAAAACCCCCAAACCACAACCCCCCCACTCGTGCCTCATCCAACAAGGAGCACGTTTAAGGTTCTGGAGGGTGCATGCTCTCAAAGTTACTTTCTCAACAAAACTCTGCTGAAAGAGGAAATGTTACAGGTTCAATGACTTGCTGCTTGACAGAGTGAGCCCAGCATTAACTCCCTGTTGCTCTCTGTTCCAGCCATGCAGTTAACCAAGTGGGGCAGAACTTCACATTTGTGCTCACAGACATTGACAGCAAGCAGAGGTTTGGATTCTGTCGCTTGTCTTCTGGGGCCAAGAGCTGCTTCTGTATCTTAAGGTAGGTCTGTGCTTTGGCTTCTGGCTGACTCCAGGAGCAGGGGTTGGCTTTGCTGTTCCACTGCAATTATCATTTCCAGCTGTTCCAAATTGTTTTCCTATCTGGCCCTCAAAGTCACTGCTCTTCTGCACGAGTGGTGCAAAATCTCTTGCACTTGGAGTTGCTCTGCAGATAACTGTGTTTGTTTGTAGTCAACGTTCTGGAGTTGACAACGTGGAAGAGGGGCCTGTGCAGTGATTTGATATGACACAGCACGATGGCAGCTGTTATCTTTAGCTGTCACAACTGATCTGGTTAAGACATTTCATGGACATTTGTATATGCAAGTTTTATTAACAAAGCATCTGTTGGTAACTGAGAGAATGTCACTGATGCTCTCCACAGCCTCAGAGTTTGGATGTGTGAGCTCTGCTCTGTCCCACTGAGGGCTTTGTGAAGTTTGGCATAATAAAGACTGTCAGGGGGAGTTGGGAGCAATGCATTTCACAGAAAACGGGCAAACAGGCTCCATCAGAAGAGATTTTGATGACCTCCCACAGCCATGTAGGAATACAGTCCATAACTTTTTATTTACATTTTCTGCAAGAAATGGTGCCAGTAAGATCAGTGTTGATGCCACCAATCCATCAGTGCCACCAGGGACTGCTGTGCAGGGAAGGTTTCCACGGGGCATCTGATCTGCCTTGGTCTAAACAAATTTAAGAGTTGTCTGTCTTCTGCTTTCTGCTTTTCATGTGTTCATGAGGAGTGGGAAATTTGGGAGCTGTGGCCCAGGTAGAGCCAGCTCAGAGTTCCTGGGAACAGGCAGGGTGTGCTGGGGCAGTTGCTGGCTCAGTCCCAGCTGAGGCCTTTGCCCTGCAGCAGTTGGACACGTCTCTCTGGGGGTCTCTGCTTTGCTCTGCATGGGGACAATCCAGGGTAAGGACAAGAGGAACCTTCTTTGTCCTGGGAGTGCTGAGAGTGGGACCATGTGTGTGTGTGACTGAATGTGCCCCTGGGAGAAACTCCAAAATACAGGTCACTTCCCAAGGGCAAGGACACCCCTCCTCCCAGGGGTGCCTTCAGCAATGCCATGGATTTGGGGTTGACGGACACAGGTGATGTCTGTGCCCGGGTGTGGAATGTCCTGCAGACAGGAGGCTGCTCCCCAGCTCCTCCTGTGGCTGCTCCCCTGTAGAGTCAGGTGGTGGTTCCCTGATTCTCACGTGGGCAATGTCTGCTTACAGCAGTAGCTTTTCCTGATTAATGTCAAATGAAAGGAGAAACAGAGTTTTAAAAAGACAGTCTGAATGAGGGATAGTCCGAGTGCCTTCTTGCTCCCCCCCGGATCAGAGTTCTGTGCTGTCAGCCCCCTTTTGCCAAGTGAATGCTAAGAAGAAATGAAGTTGTTCTGTTGTAGTTAAATGTCTTCTGCCTCAACTAAGAACCAAAGAAACCAACACAGTGGATGAACTGGGACTCCTCACCTCACTGCTATTGCCTCCTTCTCCTGGGAACTGATGACAAAAAGAAAGTTTGTCACTGATGCAAGTTTATGCAAGTTTTAGAGGATAATGAAGAGTGTAAATCAGCATCACATGAACTCACTTCCTCTATTCCCAGAACTGCAGCTCCCATTATTGATGTGAATTTTCTCAATGTCCTTTATGGATTAAAGGATGGTGCATGGAAAATGGATGGGGAAAAACCTGCTGAAGAACGTGAGAATGATATGAAAGGGCAAATGGGGATGAAAAGAATGTTGGTTTATTTGTTTTTAAGTTACAGATTGGATGGAAGCAAGCTTCAAGTATCCCTTGCTATGAGGAATTCTTTTCACTCAGACACTGCTTTCCCAAGTTTCTGCAGGGCTCTGGAAGCACAGCTGAAAGCTGACACAGTGCTAGAAGGCCACAAGTCAAGGTCTGGCCGTGAGCTCTGAAGTGACCCAGAGTTGTTTCCCGGGGATGCCGAGCACAGCGAGGTGCCTCTCGGGGTTCAGGAGCAGTGCAGTTATCCTGGGGCCAGGAGGGAGGCAATTCCCTGTGGCAGGGAGCTCTTTGGGCTATTTTAACCAACACTGCTCAGAAACCTGCTTTTGAGGTACTCCCATACTTCTGTTCCTGCTTTGGTGGCCTCACGCAGATCAATGGAAGCCTCTGATAACTTCAAACCCGCGTTTGCCGGGAGTTCTGTGGGTTCCTGCAATGCAGAACCGCTCTGTCTAGTGCAGGATCAGCCTCTGCCTCCGGTTCCTTTCCCTCTCCCGGCTGCGCTGAAGGTGCGGCCCGAGCGCGGCTGACCCGGAGCGGCTGCGCTGCCGCGCGGCACCGCCAGAGGGCGCGGGGGGGCAGGTACGGCCAGGTGAGAATGGGAGAGCACAGGTACGGCCAGGTGAGAATGGGAGAGCGCAGGTACGGCCAGGTGAGAATGGGAGAGCACAGGTACGGCCAGGTGAGAGTGGGGAGAACAGGTACGGCCAGGTGAGAGTGGGGAGGACAGGTACGGCCAGGTGAGAATGGGAGAGCACAGGTACGGCCAGGTGAGTGTGGGGGGAGCACAGGTACGGCCAGGTGAGAGTGAGGAGAACAGGTACGGCCAGGTGAGAATGGGGAGAACAGGTACGGCCAGGTGAGGATGGGGGAAAGCACAGGTGAGACACAGACCCCTGGGGGGTTTGGGATGTGACCCCAGGTGAGTCCCAGACCCCCCAAGGGATTGGGGTGTGACTGCAAGTGAGATACAGACCCCCCCTGGGGGACCTGGAGAGTGACCCCAGGGGAGTGACAGACCTCCTGGAGGTTGGGATGTGAGCCCAGGGGAGTGACAGACCTCCCTGAGGGTTTGGGATCTGAGCCCAGGGGAGTCACACACCCCCCGTGGGTTTGGGATCTGAGCCCCAGGTGAGTCACAGACCCAGAGGCTCTTGTGGCACACACCGGAATCTCCCGGGGAACTTGGAATTCCAGGCTGCCTTTTTCAACACGTTACAAAACTTAAAATATGCTTTTAAATTATTCTCTGGCGGTGAGGTGAGAGCTGATGTCCAGTCATCAGATTCCGAGCTCTAATTTGGGAATTAGAAAAAAATTCACAGGCAGGGATTTTTTTCTTTCTAAGACTTTATTGAAGGATTTCAGGATTTTAGCCCCCAGTGGAATAAATCATAATGGATATGCATTAAGAGGCTGAATTTTATTGTTTCTGGAGGTTTGCTTTAATCTAACTTTGCATCACATTTCACATGGGCTTTGGAGGGAGGACAGTATGGATAGTTATGGACTCAGTGGAGAGCTCTGGTCTTTTATTTCAAAAGGGAACAAAACCAAACCCAACTCTGCGTCGCTTTGCTTTGGTTCACAAACTTCCTGGGCCAAGTTTGACAAGGTCCCGTAGCCATGTGCCACTGTGATTTCAGTGTTACTGAATTTGAAGGTTTCAGTGGGTATTCAGGGTTTGTACCAGGCTGGAAATCATTCTCCTCGAGTGAAATGCAGAAACATTTGTGTGGAAATCCCTCTCGGCCAAAATAGCTGAGCTCTGCACCACTCCTTTTCTAAGATAAAAAGAAACGAATCCATAATAGTTTGTGACAGATGGCAGAAAATGTAACTAACTGAATGTGATTCTGTATGGAGTTATTTGAGGTTTTTGGTGTGATTTGTTGTGAGTTCCTCTCCTCCCCCCTTTCCTTCCCTTTGATTGCAGTCTTTGTCCATTTATTCTTAGGACAGAATAAGATTTCTGAGCAGGGGCCTCTCTTGTGGTGCAAAGTGAGAATTGTTTTTAATTGAGCAGAAACATGTGGAAGGATCAGGAATATCTCAAGGGATTACAGAAAAATTCCAAATTTGTACTACTTACAGCTTGTGTTTAGAGCGGGGTCTGCTGGGAATAAATGTTAGTTAGTGTGACCTGTGACCTTAAAAACTGTTGACATGGATTTCAGCCAGAAACTGGCCACAGAACTCCTTTGTTAGGCTCATTCATAGCTCCTTGAAAACTCCAGTCAGTGAAAGTTGCCAGCTCAAATCTAAGGAAAGCAGAGCCCTTTTTTTTTTCCTTTTTTTTTTTTTTCTTTTTTTTTTCCCATGCTTTGGAAACAGTGGCCGCCCCTTCACCAGCAAGACTCCTTTAATGGGGCTGCGGGGCCGAGCCCTGATTGGAACTGACAGCTTCCTGGCCCGGCAGTGCCAACTGGCAGGGCACTGAGCCATGGCACCCACCGGCCCGGGACAGCCACATCCCCACCCCAGCACTGCCCGGGGGCACAGCGTGGGCAGCGTGGGCTGGGGGCTGCTCTGGGGTGATTTCCCCTTGTCACTGGTTTGGCCAAAAGCCACAGGGGAGTGTTCACACTCAGGGCAGAGAACACGGTTTGGAGTTTTGACGTTGTTGTAGAATGCTTTGGAAAACCTCATCCCCACGCTCTGAAGGGGTTATAGCTTCATAAAACCTCCTCGCTGGGCACTCGTTTCTGTGCAGGTTTCCCCCTTTTGGGGGTTCTGGGTTAGTCCCTGGTGGGACTCAGTGTCTGGCTGCACGAAGGCTCCCCTGCCCTGAGTGGTGCTTTTGGAGGAAGAGGCACCATCCCACCAGTGAGTTCATTTATTCACTGGGACACTTTCTGCTGTTTCTCAGCTGTGAGCTGAGGTCCCACAGCTTCAGTATCCTTTGAACAACCTGCACGGTTAAAACACCCAAATATCCAAGTTTTGATTCACGTATTTCTTGAAGGCTTCATTTCCCACAAGTGTAGGGCTGATGTGTCTGGTGGAATGTCGTCCATGGGATGGTTTTAATGAAGAAAGTAGTAGATGCAAAGGTGAAGGAACCTCACTTCTGCCAAGGACAGTGCACCATTGGCCAGTCCTGTTTGCCAGGGATGGAGAGGACGAGGGGGGAGGAATGGGAAGCTGCTTCCCCCTCACAGCCACCCTCTTCCTCTGGAGGAATGAGGTTCTTGCCTTTTTCTTCATCTGTATCATCCTCTTTGAATCCTTGTGCTGGTGTTTGTAGCC